AGGCCTGAGGCATTCTGGATTCTCCGTCGGAGCGAAAACCACAGCACTGCCTCTCCGGCCTGTCCACATTCCCCCAGTGAGATATCATTATACAGCAGAAAACCACGGGGTCTGTATCAGCGGGAAACCCAACCCCCGAAGATAAAGGGACATTTGAAAGAATGCCCAGTAACACCAACATCTGATTAGATGGTTTTTATAGGTGGTTATGCGCCTGCCCCCTTGCTGCGCCCCTTCATCCAGGCCAAGGAGACTGGGTTCATTAACAGAACAGATGTGGCCTGTCTCTACCATCAGGATAAAGATCACAAAATACCCGCAGAAACAAGGACATTCTGAACTGGGGCTGCAGCAATAACACTGACTTGGGCCCAAAGAAAATTGCATTTTTTCCTTCCAGTTCAATTAACAAACATTTATTCAGGGCCTGTTATTTATTCGGCTTCATGTTTCAGTCCTGGGCTTCTCTGTCAAGGCCTTCCCCTAATCGGGGTCAGCCCCGATGAAGCCGCCTTAGGAAGTCAGTTCTGTGCAGGGGACCCAGTGTCTGGAGGGCCCAGTATGCTTTGCTCACCGGGGTAAAACCCTAGCTCTGCAGCTTAGTAGCTGTGGGACCGTGGCTAAGTTACTTAACCTCCCCGTATCTTGGTTTCATAATCTGTAAACTGTGGGCAATGCCAGCAAGTCCCTCAGGATTGTGATGCCTGAACGAGATAGTATACACCAAGAACGAGACTTTCATGCACGCAGTAAGCAGTAACGGTTGGCTATTATTCTTATTACTGACATAATGACAATTAGTATCAACTTAGCTCAGTCCTCTTGCCTGGGCTCCAGCCTCAGTTTCCTTGCCCTGTCATACTTAGACTTAAAGTTCCTCCATGGATTAAGCCCTTATTTAATTTTAGCCCTCCTGGCCAGACCTGATTCTGTTGCCCTGTAACAAGAAACTGGAACCAGCCACGGTGCGTCCATCTTAACCAAGTCTGGATGCCCGACCCAACGTGAGTGCTGCCCAGTCCGGTCTGCTGCCCTCAGGGAGAGCCTCCTCCTGGGTACCAGACAGCTAGCCAGCCCTTCAGCTCCACAGGGAGCCATGCTGCCCAGTCTCACTTCATGCCCCACCCAAGCACTTTGGGGGTAGCAGGATGGAGACAAGTGGGTGAGAGAGAAAGGATGTGAAAAGAAGCCTCAGGCACACATATCATACTTTGTTTTGGGGTCTGTTGGTGGCCTCGTCCTAGATCCTTGGTCAGGGATAGTAAACCACATTGCCTCAGTGTACAGGGCTGCAGAGATCCAGGTATTGTACAAAGACTATATCATGTGATTACAGATTTAATGTCTACCTCCCCCACCCCCAAATGTATGCCTCAGGACAGCAGGGAACCTGCCTGTCTTAGTCACAACTTGGTGCTTGGAGTGTTGTCAGACCCATAGTAGGTACTCAAGAAACACTTATAGGACGACTGATCATACACCATCGCCCCCATACTGCCTGCTCCCTGCCCCCTCCCACCCAGGCCTGGCCACTCGTTTTTAAGGCAAGTGGCATTGCCCACTGTGTCCAACTTGGCAGTGGCCACACCAAGGGCCACTGTCCCAGGACGAAGGGAGAACAGCAGAGCCAGGCCAGCTCCCGACCCTTCAGTGCCAGGACTGCAGTCACTGACCATGACTAAATATTTACTGAAAATCTGTTCTGTGCCGGGCACTGTTACCCTGAATTATCTCATGTATCTGCAGAACCCACTGAGGTAGGTATTAGCATCATCCCATGCCATAGATGAAGGAGGCTGGCACCAGGAGATATGCAATGGCCCAGGTTACAGGCTTTCAGTGGCGGAGCTGAATTTGAACCCAGATGGCAGGGTCCAGACTCGGTTCCCCTCTCTGGTGCTCTGCTGCCCCCCATGCATGGGGCCAACCCCAAGTGCTGGAGTGTGGCAGCCTTTCCCCCTTACCGGCTTGCATCCTCAGGGAAGGCTGAGTAAAAAATTCTATTGTCAGCAAGGCCGAGTGTCCACTCCAGCCCATCACTTAGGGCAGTGGTTCTCAACCTGTGGGTCACGACCCCTTTGGCGGTCGAACGACCCTTTCACAGGGGTCGCCTAAGACCATCCTGCATATCAGATATTTACATTACGGTTCATAACAGTAGCAACATTACAGTTATGAAGTAGCAACGAAAATAATTTTATGGTTGGGTCACAACATGAGGAACTGTATTTAAAGGGCCAGAAGGCTGAGAACCACTGACTTAGGACCTGAGAGAAACCATGCTCTGCTCCTCAGCTTCCCTCTAGAAACAGAGGCCACAGCAGCACTTCTGTGGGGCTGCTGCACAGATTAAGCGGGCGGCACGGGGCTCATACAGAATAGGTCCTACTTCCTGCCTCCCTGTCGTGAGATGCTACTTCCCTTTTGGCGACAACACAAGGGGAATGTGGGCTGTGGCTCTTGAAAGGGCAAAGAATGTCCCAAATAATGGGACACACTGAGCTCTGAACCCCGGCGTTGGGTGGTCATCACGCCCCCCCTCCCCCGCCCCCCGGGGAAAGAGCTGACCTCATGGGGGCCTTTCTTGTTTTCATTTTATCTGTAGAACATGAAACAGAGTTCCATTCCCAGGGAAACCCCCCATGGAAGCAGCAATAAAAACAGAACGCCCCCTCCCCAGAAGGGGGTCACAGAACCTCAGCCCCAGGACAGGGCAACTGGAATTCTTTGTTTACTGGGAAGCTTGAAATGCTCTCTGCTCTCTTGTTCCCATGTTCTCTTAAGAAACAGATTAGGCTGGGAAAGAAGGGTCTGGAAGTGTTAAGAATTCCCACAGAACAACCCAAGCCATTTTTGAAGTGAATTATCAACAGCAACAGCCATGATCTCACTTTTGAAGATACAGGTTGACCTAATGAGTATGTTCCATAAGAAAAATATTTTTCTACAGGAGAAAAGGCGTGTGAGAGTCGGCCCGCGGACTCTCCCAGAAGTGCCTGGCTTTCCTAGAAGACTCTGTCCTTACTTGCTGTGTGACCTTTTCTTTTTAACACTTTTAAAATTACAGTTTACATTCAATATTACTTTGCGTTAGTTTCAGGTATACAGCATAGTGGTTAGACAACCGTTTACATTACAAAGTGTTCTCCCTAATATTGCTGTGTGACCTTGCTTGGGTCACTGAGCCTCTCTGAGCTTCACTTCCCTCATCTATAACATGGGGAATTAATACCTGTGTTGGAAGCTGAATTTGATGGTGGATTATGGTCTCAGGACAAGACAACCTCTCCCATCAAGTCAAATCCTTTTGCACAGGTACCCACCTGCTGTCATTTGTTAATGGGATCTAAGACTCACTGCATTAGGGGACAGACAGCAGGCGAGTCTGAGGCAGAGAGGGCACTGGGGAGAGAGCACGCGGATGGGACAGGGGCCAGGTGACAATTCCTCCTCCCCTCCAGGACTCAGTCTCTCCTTTTTTTTTTTTTTTAAAGAACTTTAAATATTATTTTTCAATTAAAGTTTACATTCAATGTTATTTTGCATTAGTTTCAGGTGTAGAACATAGTGGCTAGACAATCATATACTATACAGAGTCCCTCCTGCCACCAATATTTCCAATACCCGCCTGGCACCATGTCAGTTATTACAATATCACTGACTATACTCCCTTGCTGTAGTTTACATCCCATGACTATTTTGTAACTATCAATTTGTACTTCTTAATCCCTTTACCATTGTCACCCAGCCTTCCAACCCCCCTCTCACCTGGTAACTATCAGTCTGGTCTCTGTGTCTATGACTTGGTCTCAATTCTGTTTGTTCATTTCTTTTGTTCTTTTAATTCCACATATGCATGAGATCATATGGTACTTGTCTTTCCCCGACGGACTTATTTCCTTTAGCTTAATACCCTCTAGGTCTATCTATGCCAGCCGTGGGCAAACTACGGCCTGCGGGCCGGATCCGGCCCGTTTGAAATGAATAAAACTAAAAAAAAAAAAAAAAAAGACCGTACCCTTTTATGTAATGATGTTTACTTTGAATTTATATTCGTTCACACAAACACTCCATCCATGCTTTTGTTCCAGCCCTCCGGTCCAGTTTAAGAACCCATTGTGGCCCTCGAGTCAAAAAGTTTGCCCACCCCTGATCTATGCTGTCACAAATGGCAAGATTTCACTCTTTTTTATGGCCAGGTAATATTCCATTATATATTTGTACCACAGATTTTTTTATCCACTCATGTATTGCTAGGCATTTGGGTTGCTTCCATATCTTGCCTATTGTAAATAATGCTGCAATGAACCTAGGGGTGCATATATTATTTCAAATTAGTATTTTGAGTTTCTTTGGATATATACTCAGAAGTGGAATTGCTGGATCATAGGCAGTTGCATTTTTAATTTTTTGAAGACTCTCCATACTGTTTCCCATAGTAGCTGCACCCATCTGCATTCTCATCAACAGTGCATAACGGTTCCCTTTTCTCCACATCCTCACCAACAATTGTTTCTAGATTTATTATTGATAGTCATTCTTGCCGGAAGCCAGTCCACCCTTGCTGCTTGACACAGTCGCTGCAGGGAAGAAACGTCTGCACAGCTTATGTTTCAAGGGACCTGGGGTATATGGCATACTGTTCTTAATATGTTTGCTCCCCTTCTTGGCGCTATGTGTTTTAACCAAGGTCACCTCTCTGAGAAAGGTTGTTTCCCCAGGTAGGGATTTTCCCCTGAAGTTAGGGAGGGAATAAAAACCCTTAACTAAGTGCCAGGCGGGTAGTTAATCACTTTAACTATGAACAATCACGCGTAAGCTACATAATCTTTACTCCCTGGAATGGAGATAAGAAACGCCCTAACCTTTGGAATAGAAATTGATAGGATTAAAATCAACTGGTATAAATACAGATGTAACAAGACAATAAAACACAGAACTTGGCTATGATGATCATCTGAACGCTGCCTCCGTGTCATTCCTTCTTCGCCTACTCCGTTCACACCTTTGGGAAGCCCTGGACCTGCTGGGGTTGGACCCCAACACATTCTGACTAGGTATATCTCATTGTGATTTTAATTTCCATTTCTCTGATGATTAGTGACACTGAGCATCTTTTCATATGTCTACTGTCTGTCTGTATGTCCTCTTTGGAGAAGTGTTTATTCAGGTCTTCTGTTCATTTTTAAATTGGATTGTTTTTTGCTTTAGTGTTGAGTTGTATAAATTCTTTATATATTTTGGATATTAAACCCTTATCAGATGTATCATTGGTAAATATGCTCTCCCATTCAGTAGGTTGTCTTTTGTTTTGTTGGTTTCCTTTGCTGTGCAAAACCTTTTTTGTTTGATGTAGTCCCTTTGTTTATATATATATTTTTTTGCTTCCCTTGCCTGAGAATATATATGTCAGGAAAAAATATTGCTAAGAGAAATGTCAGAGGTTTTACAGCCTATGTTTTCTTCTTGGAGTTTTATGGTTTTGAGTCTTACATTTAAGTCTTTAATCCATTTAAGTTTATTCTTGCATATGTTGTAAGAAAATGGTCTAATTACATTTTTTGCATGTATCTGTCCAGTTTTCCTAGCGACATTTATTGAACAAATTGTCTTTATCCCACTGTATGTTCTCTTTCATCAAATATTAACTGAGCATATAGTTATGGGTCTATTTCTGGACTCTTTTTTTTCTGTTCCATTGATCTATGGTCTGTTTTTATGCCAGTACCATGCTGTTTTGATTACTATAGCCTTGTAGAATAGTTTGATATGATATCTCCAACTTTGTTCTTTTTTCTTTTAAAATTACTGTGGCTATTTGGTTTTTGTGTGTGTTTTTCATATCAATTTTTGGATTATTTGTTCTAGTTCTGTGAAATATGTCATTGGTAGGTTGACAGGAATTGCATTGAATCTATAGATTGCTTTGGGTAGTATGGACATTTTAATGATGCTAATTCTTCCTATCCATGAGCATAGTATATACTTACATTTATTTTTATCTTCTGAAATTTCTCTCTCTCTCTCTCTCTCTCTCTCTCTCTCTCTCTCTCTCTCTCTCTCCCCTCACCTGAGGATGTGTTTATTGATTTTAGAGAGAGAGAGAGGGAGGGAGAGAGAAACATTAAACGGTTGCCTCCCATACATGCCCCAACTGGCAACCAAACCTGCAACCTAGGTATATGCCCTGACTAGGAATCGAACCCAAAACCTTTTTGGTGCATGGAATGATGCTCCAACCAACTGAGCCAGCAGGCCAGGGCTTGAATTTGTTTCTTCAGTATCGTATAGTTTTCCAAGTACAAGTCTTTTATCTCCTTGGTTAAATTTATTCCTAGATAGTTTTAAAAATTATTTTAATGCAATTGTAAATGGGGCTGTTTTCCTAGTTTCCCTATCTGATAGTTCACTATTGGTATGTAAAAACGCAACTGATTTCTGAATATTTATTTTGTATCCTGCTACTTTAGTGAATTCCTTTATTAGTGCTAGTAGCTTTTAGGTGGACTCTTTAGGGTTCTCCATATACAGTATATCATCTGCAAACAATGACAGCTTTCTTTCTTTCTCTTTCTATTTGAGGACATAGACTTAATCTCAGGACCCTCCACGCGCCCCAGTTCTGAGACTGTGTAAAAAGTTGGCTAATCCTGGTGCTACATCTCCAAACATGATTTAGAAGCACATAGCATTTATTTATTTATTTTTATTTTTTTAATTTTTATTAGAAGCACATAGCATTCAAATAACATGTGGGCTCCGTATGCTCCGTTGGGGGAAAGTCCCAGCTCTGTGCCGGGAAAATGCTGTCTAAAGGAAATCACCCGGCACCTTCCAGGTGCAAAGGTTGCCCACGTTCTCACTGGAATCCTGACTCTTCCCACAGGAGCTGCATTTGTCCCAAAGCCACTCCAACGGGCGTTTCTGCTGAAAATGAGACAAAAGCCAGGTTTGACCAGAACAGAGGTTCTGAGCAGCAGAAAGCAAAAATCAAGTCGGAGAAGACCTTCGGTTCTGGGGACTGAGGAACAGAAGGGCCAGCAGGGAGTGGTCCCATGGATGACTCACATAGAGGCATGCCCAAACACAGCCTAAGTGCCACAGCTCCCGGGAGGCAGGTACGGGGGGCAGGTGGGGGGACCTGTCAGCCCCCACCCCTCCACCCCTCCTGAATCCATCTTCTCCCCCCACGCCCATGGTTACAGAAGATGCTAGGAAGAGGAACATTCTGTATTCCTGTGTCATGCTTTGTCCTTCAGCAATAGAGTTGGAATAAATTACAAGAGAAGCATTACCTGAATATGTTACCATAATCGCATGAAACAGCATTTGTAGTATTCATAATTAAATTGTGATTATATGTAAATGCAACCTGAACACATGTATGAAGCCTGGGCACATTCCTTCTCCTCATCTGATCCTCAGACCTACAAGGTGGTCCTGGAGATGCATTTATCGTCCTGGTACCATGAGGAAACTGAGGTTCAGGTAAGGCTGCTGCAGGGAGGGGACCTGGCACCGTGTCCCACCATGTGCTCACCGTGAGTGTCTGAACTGCGGAAACTGAGGTGGGGGAGGTATGTAACTGTGGCCCCGCACTCTCCTGAGGTGCAGGTAACCCAGGAAGGCTGAGGACTAAGGTGGAAAAAGCTCATTTCATAGATGAGGACACTGGTGCTTGGCAGAGTTAAGTGACTTTCTCAATGTCACATGACAATGAAATCCCCAAGGCTCCCTGCCTTCTCTCCTCTAGAACTTTCTCCAAGGGCTGAGTTGGAGGAAGTCCATGCTCACTCCCTGTCCCCAGGCAGTGGGAAGTGACTAAGTCAAGCTGCCTCACCTGCAGGCAGGCACACATTCATTCATGCATCATCCATTCACTCCTCCGCTCACAGCGACTGCCCCTGGGTTAGGTGTGAGGCAGCTCTACAATCCTCCCCAGGACAAAGGCTAGGAAAACGCCTCCTGAAGCTGCCTCACTGCACGGGGCACAGGATGCCCTGTGAATCTAAAATCGCCTACCCGCTCGGGGCACTGGGGTGCGCGCTCAGTGGACACACACGAACAGCGAGACCTCAGGGAAAATCCTTGTATCCAGGTCCCAGTGTGCCCCTGCTATGTGCTGCCCTGGGAAAGACAGTAAAATATGCACTCCAAAGGGAGAGAGAACATGCAATGCTCTACCCTGGGGCTGAACGAAGAAGGGCAGTGCTAGGCCAGCACAAGACCACAGCGCCTTGGAGCTCGAGTATCTGGGCGGCTGTAGCCACCTGCTCTACAGGTCAGGATGAAGGGTTCTTGACTCTTCCTTATAAAAGTAACAGCTCCGCAACGAAACACGAAACGCGCAGTCCCGGCCATGGCTCAGGCTCTGGCCCTGCCGGCTGGGCCACCCTAGCAGGATGCTTAGCCCCTGAGGTCTGACAACCCCAATGACTTAATCTCTCTCCCTGACTCCCCCCGGGCCATCTGGGGATTCAGTGAGATCACAGGTGTAAAAGGGCACAGTGGGGAGTTCAGTAAACGAGGTAGGGCCCTCCTCTCTGGCTAGAAGACCACAGAGGGTCCTGGCCCGAAGCCCCTTCTCAGGAGGCAGCGTCAGGGTGGAAGGGGCAGGGCTGGGGTCCAGGAGGGAGGGTTGCTACTCTCTCCCCACTTGCTACTTTCTGCCCTGGCTCAGCTTATTCCTTCTGATCACCAATTTCCTCCTCTGCAGAGGGGGGATACAGAGGAAGACCTGGCACGAAGATGAAGAAAACCAGAAGAGGAAAGTGGGGAGGAAGCTACCTGTAAAGTCTAAAGCAGGGGTCCTCAAACTTTTTAAACAGGGGGCCAGTTCACTGTCCCTCAGACCGTTGGAGGGCCGGACTATAGTTTAAAAAAAAACACCATGAACAAATTCCTATGCACACTGCACATATCTTATTTTGAAGTAAAAAAACAAAACGGGAACAAATACAATATTTGTATTTGCATGTGGCCCGCGGGCCGTAGTTTGAGGACCCCTGGTCTAAAGCACTGTGTGAAGAGCTGCTGTCTCCCAGTCTCTTCCCTTGCCTCAGTTTCCTCCTCTGCACAGGGCTGTTTTGAGATGGGTGAAAATCAAATGAGATGACAGTTGTGGAAACAGCTGGCATGCGTCTGGCCTGCAGTGGGTGACCCATTAATGTCGAGTCTGGGTCAGCAGGCAGCCTGGGAGGGGCTGGATGAAACGCTGAATTCCAGGGGGGCCATCGGCCCTTTCAGAGCACACTGGAGCCCACCGCCAGCACCTGCCTCCAATTGCAGTTCCCTCTGGTTCAGGCTTATTTGGAAAGATGCTTCGCTATCAGCCAATCAGGAAAGCATGCTAGGTTTGTGTCCCAAAATCATAGTGGCACAGTGGCCACAGGGGATGGTGGGGGCAGAAAGCCAGCCCCCCAGAACTTCCCACTCCTCTAAACACGCCACCCCAGTAGGCCCCCACATCAGGGTCTGGAGTTCTGCTCCCAGGAGGGAACCCCCTCCTCTATTCTCTCCACAGCACGGAGGTGCAGCCAGGGGCTCACAGTCCTCTCCCTTCCCTCGATGCCATTGCAGAACTCCTGGTTTAGCATGATCAGGAATGGCAGCAGACACAGTAAGAATCAGTTGTTTAAAAAAATTTCTTTTTTAATCTTCATCTGGGTATATTTTTCCCATTGATTTTCAGAGAAAGTAGAAGGGAGGGGTGGGGAGAGAGAAAAAATCCATGTGAGAGACACATCGACTGGTTGCCTCAAGCACGTGCCCCAATAGGGGGGTGGGGAGCGAACCTGCAATGCAAGAATGTGCCCTTGACCCAGAATCAAACCCGAGACCCGCTGGTGTGTGGGCCAACACTCCAACCACTGCGAACACCAGCCAGGGCAAGAATTCGTTGGTTTTTTTGTTTGTTTGTTTTTTAAAAATATATATATTTTATTGATTTTTTACAGAGAAAAAGGGAGAGGGATAAAGAGTTAGAAACATCGATGAGAGAGATCGATCAGCTGCCTCCTGCACGCCCCCCACTGGGGATGTGCCCGCAACCAAGGTACATGCCCTTGACCGGAATCGAACCTGGGACCTTTCAGTCCGCAGGCCGATGCTCTATCCACTGAGCCAAACCGGTCAGGGCAAGAATTCGTTGTTTTTAAATAAATAGTGTCTTAATAAACAAAGATCTATTCGAATATTATCCATCCTTTGAAAACTGGAAAGGAGAAAGTTCCACCCACAAGTCCATCAACCCACCAGAACTGCTCGGACTTTTGTGAGTTCCTTTCTAGTCTGGGAGCTCTCACCTGAGCTCGTGCCTTTCTGAGTCCTGCGTTCCCCACCTCATCATCCAGGGACTCACCTCTCCCACACTGCCCCTCATCTTCATAAATACCATTTCTCACAGATGCCCATGAGGCAGGCCGGGACACGGGGTTCTCGTGTGTGCCCCCATGTACACTCGACTGCTGCACACAGGCCCTGCTGATGTCTGCTGTCACACTCAGTGCTGAGGTCAGGGCATCGGTCCTGGTCTTCCTCGGAGGCATCCCTTTAGGGACTGTCAGAGTGGTAGAAGCCATATACCCCCCCCCCCCCCCCTGCAGTGCGGGACTCTGCAGCTTCCCTACCAGACGGGTTCGGGATCAGCCAGTTAAAAGCAAACTGTCAGCCCTGGCCAGTATGGCTCAGTTGGTTGGGCGTTTTCTGTGCACTGAAAGGTTTGCTGGTTTGATTCTTGGTCAGGGCACATGCCTGGGTTTTCGGCTTGATCCCCGGTGTGGTGAGTGAGAAGAATGGATGTTCTTCTCTCACACCGATATTTTTCTTTCTCTCTCTCCCTTCTTCTCTCTCTAAAAATCAATAAAAACTAAAAAAAAAAAAAAAAAATACAACAAACTGTCAGACAAGCCAGGGGATAGGAGCAAATATTTGCAAGACATATCTGATAAAGGACTGCTATCCAAAATGTACAAAGAACTCTTTAAACTCAACAATAAGAAAACAAACAATCCAATGAAAAGATGGGCCAAAGGCTGGAACAGATACCTCGTAAGAAGGTCCACAGATGGGAAATAAGCACATGAAAAGATTTTCCACATCAAATGTCATCAGGGAAATGCAAATTAAATCAACGAGACAGCACTACACACCTATTAGAATGGTCAAAATCCAGAACGCTGACAACACCGAATGCTGGAGAGGATGTGAACAACAGGAACTCTCATTTATAGCTGATGAAAATGCAAGATGGTACTTTGGAAGACAGTTTGGAAATTTCTTACAAAATTAAACATAGTCTTACCATACAATCCAGCAATTACACTCCTTGGTATTTACACAGAGGAGCTGAAATCCTACATCCACACAAAAACCTGCACATGGACGTTATAGCAGCTTTACTCCTAATTGCCAAAACCTGGAAGCAACCAGATGTCCTTCAGTCGGTGAATGGATACACAAAGTGGGGTATAGACAATGGAATGTCATCCAGGGCTGAAAAGAAATGAGCTATTAAGATCCAGAGACAGAGAAGCATCAAACAGACCCTCAAACTTCAGAGGGAAAGCAGGGGCGGGTGGGGGAGGGACAAGAGATCAACCAAAGGACTTGTATGCATATAAGCATAACCAATGGACACAAACACTAGGGGGGTGAGGGCACGTACTGGGGGTGGGGGTGGCCGGGGAGAGGTCAATGGGGCGGGGGGAGGAGACATATGTAACACTTTAAACAATGAAGAATTAAAAAAAAAGAAATGAGCTATTAAGCTATGAAAAGACATGGAGAAAACTTAAATGCATATTACTAAGTGAAAGAAGCCAATCTGAAAAAGGCTACGTACTGTATGATTCCAAGTATGTGACATTCTGGAAAAGGCAAAACTATGGAGACAGTAAAAGTGGTTGCTAGGGGTTAGGGGAGAGGGAGGGATGAACAGGCAGAGTATCTTGGAGTATCTTTAGGGCAGCATACTATATTGGTGGCTATACCTCATATGTTTGGCCCAACACATAGGCTACAAGAGTGAGTCTGAAGGTAAACTATGGACTGTGGGTGATAATGATACGTCAATGGAGGTTCATCCATTATAACAAATATACCACTTGGTGGGGGATGTTGATTTTGTTAGGAACCTAAAACTGCTTCTTAACAAATCTATTAAACACACACACACACACACACACACACACACGCACACACCCGGCCCCCAAAACAAACAAACAAAAAACAGACAGTTCCTGGAGGATTTCTTTTCCTTCCTGGGCCATAAACTGTGATTCGGTGGCACCTGCA